GTGTGTGTGTGTGTGCTGAAGGTCAACAGACGATCATGCTAAGCTTGCTAACAGCTCCACCCTCTGACTGCTGCAGGGGCGTGTCTTAGAGAGAGGTTTACTGTATATACCAGAACACAGCCGCTGTGACGAAACTGTGCACAACCACGTCACAGTGGAGAGCCGTTAACCAATATGCAAATTAGCCTGCAGTACCACTGCTCTACCCATATGAGCAGCAAAAACACGTTTTTAGACCAAATATTACAGATTTGAACAAATACACATAAAAACATCTAAATTAGCACAGAAACAGTACTATATAACATTTGAGACACATTCTAGACAGTTTATCAGCTGAAAAAAGTTAATTTTGGGGTAAGTTACTCTTTTTAGAAGAGTTTAGAAGAACAAACAGCTCAAAGTACAGTATGTGCAGTAGATGAGTCTCAGCTACATCACATTTTAGTTAAGTAACTGTAAATTTGGCCAGGTTTTAGGTATTTTTGTGTTGGTAATATCCATTAGCTGTGGCAGCTATCTTGTGTCARGTGGGCTCCAAACGTTAATTAGTTGAAGATTATTACTTTCTGAAAGGATCAGCGGATATTTTGCTAACAGATAGAACTGACACCAAAATTTATTGCTTGGGATTTTAGCCAAGATCTATTGCAARAAGTAGTTCAGGAAGTATGTTTTGTGAATGGTTCTCAGTTACAACTACACCWAATTTTAGCTCATTTGCTGTAAAACAGTGAATTATAGACATTTGTTTTTGTGTTCGCTAGGGTCAGTTGGCTGTGGCGGCCATCTTGAATCATTATGCCTGAACATTTCTTTAAAATCCAACAAGTGGTTCACGAGATATGTTGCTAACAAACCGATAWAACTGACAGGATGTTTTAAACTGATCGTCTTTTATTCGTCTTAAATCAGCACATTCAAGTCTCTGCTGACCTTTCTCTGAGGTGCGGTGGTAAAACAGACAGAGTTTTCCCGGGGCCGGTGTTCTCCTGCAGCTTGGACAAACTCAAGAGCCGAACTCCAAGATACGTTCCCCGCGGCTCGAAGCCCTGAAGAACCAGAGAGCCAAGCGCACAGATTAAACACACAAACACAAGACACACAGACACAAACAAATAAACATGAAAACTGATTCCACTCGACACACTGGGACAGTTCAGTGATTTAATCAGCATCACGCAACGATAATGTTGGCAAAAATACAGTACAGTAAGAACACTATGAGGGGCCAAGYGTYAAATAAAATGTATAAACATGTCACCAACACATTTTCATTATTAAGATCACTTTTTGGGTGTGAAATCCCAGTTAAAAATCCTCCACTAATGTTTTATTGTTAATAACTCACAGTTCTTACATTCTCTAATTTTTACTAAATGTCGAATGTCAAATAATATATGTAAATAATAAATTCTAGATCTAAAGGCAGTGGTGGGCAGCACTAA